TTATCCTAACTCTGCACTAGCTCTGTGTTCTGGCTCTTGGGTTGCTGCAGGCAGCTTGAACCCACTTGAAACATAACTCCCACTACTATTTGTTGTAATTTTGCTTATTTCTATTACAGAATTCCTTCTTCTGTCTTTTTTAATTTGTAACTGGCTTTACAAGATGAAAGTTTAATAAATTATTGGATTGCACAGGCTCTATTCACTTACAGGCATTGTGTGCCCATGATAAGGTGTTTACTCAGAACTTAACACTTGGAAATGGTAAATGAAAAGCAGATGTCATCAGCCTGAGGATACAACGGCCCTTCTTCCCAGAAAACAATTTTGGGGTCAGTAGAAAAGAGTTTGCTGCTACAGTGAGGAAGGTTTGTTTCCAGCTTCTGCTTTGCTTTCTGGGGCTGTCACACCTTTGATCAGTGGGAGAAGTGCCACTGGGTCTGAGACAGCAGAGCAAGGAATTAATTGTCTCCCAAGGCCCAGTCTTGTGGGATCAGCTCCATACCTTCTCTTCAGTACCTCCAAAGTCACTAATAACAGGAAATCACTTCTGGTTCAAATAACCTGCCAATTTGCAATCCCCACACAAGTGCATGGCCTGGCCATGGTGCTCTCCTAAGAGCTTGTGTCACTGAAGTGAATTTGGACTGGGAGCAGCTGAGCTGTCAGCAGCACAGATCATCCCATTAGCAGACAAAAGTGCCCTCAATCCATACACAGGTGTGGAACCCAAGCAGTGATGCATAATCCCCTCATTATGCTCCCCTATATACCTTGTTCAGATGCTCTGAGAGCCTCAGGACCCTGGAGATCAGTCTATACAGTATCACTTGCCTTTATCCCCTTGCATAGACATTCCAGGTCTTTTGAGGCTGCAAGTGCCTCTGCTTACTGCCAGCTAGCCTGTCTCCTTTCTGGGCAGCTGTTGAATTTCAGACTGCACTTGTTTCATTAATACATTTCTATAAAGACAACAAACATGCAGTGCTGCAGGTCCAGTATGATAGCAATACACACGAATGCATTTATTAATGGTGGTCCTGAATAACAACCCAAAGCAGTGGCCAACTGAAAGCCTTCTCTGACTCCCTTTATAAATGTTGGAGCACCCTGTCAGTGTGACATGCAGTCCCCCACCCAAGTATTTATGTAATAGTTAATTCAAGTTTGAATGTTCTGTTTATTTTATATGAACTAGTTTCATGACAATTTATAATCAGCACCTACACCATAAACATGAAATGATTTATATGCAATGACACTGCCTCAGGTAAGTTGTTGCACAAGGTCACGTCTAGTTATTATTGGCTGTAAACTTAAAACATTTATTTGTACCTGGTTTTAATACACACAGCCTCTCCCTCTGTAGGCTGTGTATTGTATTACTACCCTGTGCATTTGCTTCAAAGTAACATGCTCCCCTTGAGCCTTTAAGTAAATCTCACATGTGAATTCCAGCCCCCTCTGTAAAATATGAACTAAATCAGTGGGATGGAAATCTGCCACCTCTTGGCTGCTTTTTTTGATCAGAGATCCCTAACGCACAGTTGGTGTACACCTTGGCCCCACTCCACAGTCGGCACTGAGGTGAAGGCCAGTAGCTGGATTTCCAGTGCCAGTCACTTACCCAGTGCCAGCTCGGTGCTGCTCCAGCATGGTTGTGACACCCAGCTGGGAGGAATCCATCACACAGAGCACCTCAACTCTGCAACCCTGTTTAGGTCTGAATGCACCCCAGAGCAAACGTGTTCAGGTGGCCGATTCCTGGTTCCTGCCAGGTGTTTGCTGGCCAACATTGGCTGGGCCAACTACAGAACACAGCTCTGGTGGTTCCAGAGCCCAGCTCCGTCTCCTTCCCACACTGCACCCAGGGATACATCTGGGGCCCCTCACAGCCCTCAGGCACTGGCCCTCAGGCCTTCCCCAAAATGCTGTGAAGGGCTCAGGATTAGCAATACAAACATGTTTTTCCTGTAAAAGCAAACACTTAAAAATCCTGGGTGACACTATCACAGTGACAGCTGAAGATAAACTCAGTTGGCTCTGTACTGGGTTACACTCTGGGTGTAGTTCTTTCAGGGCCACTAGTGAGGCACACACATTAATAGCAACTTACCTGCCTTGTTCCTTTCTCCTGTTGCACTGTGAGGTTGAAGGCAATTCAGCTGCCTGATGAGGCATACAAAGACACTGAATCTGCATGGGAAGAGATAGCCTGGTTGAAGAAGGTGTGGAGGGAGTCCCTTGGGGCTGGAAGAAGGGAGAAGTGGCTGTTGTCCAGAGCAAACTCCCTGTTGTGCTGTGAGTACTTGGGCCAAGGTCAAGAAAGCTGCTCTCTGTTTTCTTGCTTGCAGAGGAGGGGGACAGACCCACCTGCCAAGGTTGTGGTGTCCTGCCGCTACAGGATGTTCCAGCTGTCCACAGCAGCTGTTGCAGCCCTTTCCCTGCAGCCCATGGCAGTGTGTTGGCAGTGCTCATCCCACATGTTTCAGCCTTGCAGCTGCTGCTTCATTGAAGAAGTGGTGCTTTCTGGTCCCCCTTCCTGGAAGCTTCTGGTGGTGTAAAGCTGCCTGGTTGGTTTTTCTATCTGTGGTGGTGTATTCTCCATCTGGTGGCTTAATAGTGCTGCCAAGCAGGTATGAGAGAGAAGAAGTACAAAGAATGGTGTCCACAGGAGACAACGAAAGATGGAATTTCAGAAATCCAGTCTTTTTCCTCAAAGCAGCTCATGATGCAAGCCCTGGGCAAATGTGACTTCCCATTATCCCCACACATTTATAATTCACACTTTCATTTAACACAAGATGCTTTTCAAATACCTAGATCATGTTTATGAAAAAAAGGCATTTCAATTAAAGTTCAGTTGCTAATAGTGAAGACATTCAATCAAGCATATTTGCAAAATCATCTCAACCCACTACTTTTGAGTTTACTTTGAATATACATATATGGCTTGTTAGCTTTAACAAAGTGTAAGCACCATGATTTTATACAATTACCTCCTCTGAATAATCTCCTATAAGGGAGCATGACACATGACATTTGAGAAGTTCTATAGAAAGCAGGAGCAATACTCCTACTACTAGTATGAGTGTCCCAAGACACAGCATGCGGAAAAATGTCTCTGTTCTCATTTGTTCTAGCAAAAAATGCATAAGAGGCCAGCATAATTCAGGAAGAACATCTTGAAGCAATTATTTTGTATTGCTGGAATCAACTTTTTTGAAAGTCACCTTGGAGTAAATTACTCTATTTATGCTGAAAAGTAGTAAAACAAACAAAGAATTGTTGTACGGTTTGTAATTATAGTCTCTTCTGCACTGGTAAAGTGAAATCCTTAAGGACTTACTCTGTGTTGCAGTATTGTGTCATCACAATAAAAACCTTATCTGCTATCCTTCCCTACCCCCACAAATCTGTTAAAAATCTCAGTTACTGACAGATATTATGAGAGAGTGAACAGGAGTGTGCAAATACCATTGCTGTGATTTAGCCATAAAGAATATACCCAAGATAACAGTATTTTATAAGGGCATTTATGCTATGCACCATTTTTTAAGTTAATTTGCTATTAACAGAATATTCCCTCTCTAGTACTTTGTCAACTCTCACAGTAAAATTCCAGAACTAAATGGGAAAGCTCCATTACAGTGACAACTGAATTTTACTCTCCAGTAAGGAATCTGGTTTTCCTAAGCTCAGTTGTTTAATATTTCTCATAGATCTTGCTTTAAAACTGTGCAGTGTCTGTTCAATTTGGTCAGTAAGAACTTTATGTACTTCTTGACAACAGAATGGACTAACTTTTAGAAACCTGGGTGTTATATATCCCGCTGTGCTCCATACACACAGCAACAGCAGATGCATGAAAGGCCCAAATCGTAGTTTCAACCTGAAGCAACAAAAATTGTAATGTTTGGTCTTCATTTATTTGCAGCCACATAAAAAAAAAAAAAAAAAAAAAAAGAATCACTAGCAGGCCATGAAATTTACTTACTCCTTTCAAAAATGTTTACATGTATAACATATGTCCAAAGCAACAAGCAGATGGTGCATTTGGTTTCAGGGAAAAATGCTGAGAAGTACAACAAAAGCATCAAGCCCAAAGGGTGATCATGCATAAAGACTTGTTGATTTCTATGTCAATTAAGTAACTGATGCAGAAACACTTCTAAATTAAAATGTTGGCTGGTGTAGTGGCAGATGTGGGTTAACCTTTCCATGACCCACAGTATTCCATGGACTGGGCAAACTTCAGGAAGAGGAACTGAAGTTGTACACTTCTTGCCTAAAGCTACCACAGCTGGCAGACAGTTTGTGCCCTGGGATGAAGGAGTTTTAGGATGTCTTCTCAACTCCATTGCTCTGGGACCTGGGAAAGCATGTCTCTGCTGCCAGTTTTCCCTGTGCATCATCTTCAGTTTTAAGATTAATATTTGTGAAGCAGATGACCGCCTTAGTCATCTTGCACAATAGGATGTTTCCCCCAGAAAGCCATTACTGGAGCTAAAAATAACACTGCTTTTTCACCAGCAGTCAGAGATGTTGGACATCTGGAATTCAGAGCTCAGACATCACTTAAAATTAATACATCTCATGCTTTAATTGCAAGTTAACTGGAAGTAGTTTAACTCTGTATTTTAAGAGGCATTATGGAGGGAGCCTTTATACACTGCCTTAATTTGGCCTCAAGGTGCTAATGAACCACACCCTGATTCGAACAAAAAAGGCACAGAAGAATGTTCCCTGTGTAAGCCTGAAGCAGCTTGATAAAAGCTAGGTATAACTAAGTTTTGAAGTCCAAAAAGAAACTTGCCAGCATTCTTTTTAAATACATCAAAGATACGTATTACCTCTAAAATTTTCTTAGCGTGGTAACACACATTTATGGGCCTTAATTCTGATCACAGCCCCTGCACTCTGCTTTTGCACCCAGTGATTAATGACCCATACCTTAACTCTGATAACTGCTTCCATGGAAATAAAACCAGTGTAAGTAGTTCAGTGTTTTATTTACCTTTATTCTTTCAATAACAATGCTGCCAAATAATCTTCCTGTGTATTTCAAATGAAGTGGGTTATTCACCTGCACTAAGGCCATCGTGCTTACACAAAAAGGAATTACCAGTGATTAGACAATTTGTGTGTGATGAAACAAACATGAGAAATGGGGCCTTAAAAAAATTATTTACATCATTTATAAGAATAAAATATACAATTTTTAATAAAAAGTATATATCCTTTTGTGTTGAATTAAGATCTTACTATTAATTTCCACTTTCCATTTCAGATTCACACCTAAAAATACTCATAGTATAAACATCTATAAAACTAGTAAATCTCAAAGCATGGGAACTTGTAAATAATTTTCCCCACTTATTACTGTATTTAGAAAAAGACAATAACCACCATTTTTTCTAGTCCATTAAGTTAGAAGTCATTTGGCAAAGCACTTAGGCATATAAGCTAAACCAGAAGACATCAGGAACCAGACTTCGCAAAGTTTCAAACTCATACCAGGGTAGGTTAAAGAATGAGAGTTTTTTTCATTGTAACTACATTTTCTACAAGTTACCTCAGAAAAAGCAAATGTTCACAATTGTGCCCAAAGTACCAAACAAACAACAAAAGTGCTTACTTCTTTGATCAGCAAAGTACCACAATGGCTCCTTTACCCCTTCAGGCTGCTCTTTTAACAGGCTCAAAGTGGTATCTACAAGTTCTCTATTTCTCAACACAAATGATAAACACTTCCTTATCAAAATAGTGCAAACAGGAACAAAGAAAAGTGCCATCAACATTAGTAAACTGCAGGAAAAGAAGGCAGTTGAACACTGTGACCTTGCTCTGCTGCTTCAGAGAAATCAGTAGTACTCTTCTCAGCACACCAGGCCAATGTATTCCTATTTACCACCTCAGGCCACCACCACATGCAAAATGGATTTGGTCTTTGGCATATCCTCCTTCATAAAAGTAAATGCACCTGCTTCCTTTGTACTGTGCATTCAAAAAAGTCAAAAGACTTTTTCAAAACAATAACTGATTGAGTAATTAATATATACAACTCTTTCTTCCCTTTTTCCCTTTATAGCATTCTTTGGAGAGCATAGGAAAGGCTACAGTAACACATCACATACAAAAATCAAGTTTAAGTTTTATGAAAAATACTCAAGTATTTTTAGCATTTATGTACACAAGTTTGTTTACCATATATTCTCAGTCTTTCCTTACACATGTATTTTATCTTGTTTCCTGGACAGATGACATATTTCACCTATAAAGTTATAGGTTGGTAACTATAAAATTAGGAATTTAATCCTATTATAAATAAGAGTATTGGGAGAATTAAATTTTAAGTATATTCATTAAAGTTGTGTGAAGTACTGTTGGCATTAATTTGTTCCATCAAAAATTCCAGTAAAGAGAGATAATGGTATAAATTAAAAAATACAACAGAACTCTAAACACCTTGCATCTTAAAAGGCTGAGGCCAAATGTAAAGACTTACCATAAAACTGAATAAAAATTGCACTTGTATATAAACAAACTAAATTTTGCCCCCGTTAATAACCTTGTTACTTTTCCAAAAAGAAGTAATAAAACATCAAGTAGCTCATTCTTATGGCTTCACACAGTGAAGTTCATGCTTAAATTGATCAGAAGAAAGTTTTTTTCAATAGCTATCTTTTGTGAACATATCATCAGTTTCATCATCATTCATCCCTCTTTGATAGCGTACAGAAGAGAAGGCACTCCAGTGAAGACGCTTCTTTTTGTAGAGGTACCATACCAGTCCAGCAATGAAAACCAAGATAATTAGCAGGGCAAATGCTACAGCCACACCAGTATGATTAGAACCTGAAACAGAGGAAAAGACTAATAGTTATTATTTAAGATTTTTGGCAAGAATATTTTGTCATAGGGTTGATGCTTAGGTAGCTACATGTTAATACTGCAGTCAGCTCAAGTCAAGGCAAAATACTTCTTATTAATAGTCTTCACTTCACATGGGAAGTTAGATGATGATCCATGCACAAATGCATTAGCTTATTTTTGATCATTCTATTGTTAATTTACTAATATTTAGGTTGGAAGGGACCTCTGGAGTTAAAAAAAAAAAAAACTACTTGCGAAGGCTACACTCATTTAGAGGTTTGTATACTTCATAAATCTAATGAGATCCTGGGCTCTTGGAAGGGATCGTAATAATACTCTCTTCAGACTGAAAAGATCTTGTTGAGATCTTCCTTAGTGGAACAAAGTTTAATCTATTCCTGCATTTCCATTTCAGTGAAAATGTATTCAAAATCAGAAAGATTCCACTGCTTCTCAGGAACTTGCTTGCTTAATGCTCAGTTAACTGCTTGCCTTCCTGTACGAAGCCAAGGATAAGGGAGTAAAGGCCTGAGTCTTTTCTGGAGCTGTGGGGTGACATTTCCAGAAGCCTCCCCAGGACTGAAAACACAATGTGCAGTACCTGTTTATTCACCATCTCTTATGAGCAGAACTCTTTCTGATTCCACCTACACAAATTCACCCATGAGAGTGAGTTTTACCCTGTGGTAAAAAGCAATAGCAACTACTCTATACTTTCTGGACACATCAGCTCTCTCCTTACCACTGAGTGGACAGTGAGAGCCAGGAGAAGTAAATTCCTAGACAATTTGTTTCTGAATGCAATTTTATGGCTAAACAACAACAGAAGACTCTTGCTTAGGCAGAGGTACTTGATGGGTTCTTTTGTGAATTGCATGTCCATTATTTCAATACCGACTTCATCCAACAAAGCAGAAATTCCTGACAAGAGTCTCTACAAAATTAAGTCTCTGCTAAAATAATGGTTCCGTACCTAAAGGAGCTTTACAAACCACTCTGCTTCGACTACGTGCACAGTCAACCTTGGACCACATGCCAGTTGTGGACAGGATAACACTGCATTTTTCATTGGCTTCTGCTGTTTTATTCTCCCAGTTGACATAATTAACTGATGAGCCATCCAGCCAGTTCAGGGACTGTCCTGCTGAAAAAAACATGACTTAGTCTAGATCACCAAAACATCCTGTAATGCTACACATTGTCATTCACAATCTTTTAACTTCTTTACATTGCTAAAAAGAAAAGAGCTGACTATCCATTCCATATATTAAAAGCAGTAAATATGAACACACAACTTTTAGCCACCTCTCTTCTCTAGACCTTTAGGAATTGATGCACTTCCATCAAATATTAGGCAGCAATAACAGAGGTGGAAAAATTAATTTCAGGGGCTCCTGATTACCCTAACTGTGCAACAGGAAGAAACTTAATTACAGTGAAATCCAGAGAGCTTTAAAATGTTAAATGACAGATTCCAACCTCAAGTAAAAGTTACTGTAGGCTACCAACACTACAGGACTATTCTTATCGGAGGATTTATGCATTTATATTTACAATACGAAACATTCATGCTCATACATTGTTTGTACTTCTTACCCTTAAAGCTCTGATCCAAGCCAAGCCATACATTCTTGGTGATGAGATCATGTTCCTTTATGTGTGCACTCACAAATGCATTTTCTTCAGCATCCACTATAGTCAGAAGGGTTGCTGAAGGATCTAGGGGGCAGAGGAAACCAGTCAGAATTGCAACTTACATGACTTTTCATGGTGCTGGTACACTGAATTTTCTCTTAGAACAATTACTATGGGAAAGGATTTGCTGATCTGGGCTTGTAAAATTAGGTTAGAATAACCTTCAGAACAAAGACATGAGCCTCCCATCCCCTAAAACAATGCCTGTTTTATGAGATGGCTTCAGATGGCTGGCTATTCTAGCAGGTTATACAGAATAAAATCAGAGTAAACTTATTGCAGCTGCAGACTATATACATGGAAGATATCAAGAGATATGCCTTTTGAGAATTACCAGTCTTGCCCAAGTAATAGGCTTTTGAAAATACAGTTGAACAAAAGCTCAGCATTTTGCTGAGTCAAGTTATTTTCTAAATCAATCCTTCCACCGTGCCTCAGGTTTTTATGTACAGTAATTAAGGAATAAGAGGGAGGAATGGGCATGCTAGAGAGGCATGTTCAGAGTGTACCCATCCTTCACAATTATATATAAATATAAACCAGATGCTTTCTCTTTCAACTACCAGACCAAATTGGACTCAACAGAAAACTGCATCCAGGACTTGGTACTTTAGCCCCTGAGCAGTGAGTCCAACGTCATACCATAGGATAATTCCATAAAAGAAAGTTATGACAGTCACTAACTTCTACATTAGGGTGATTAAAACTTCTGTACATGAAACTAATTAACAGTCTCTTCAATGCAATTCTCCGTGTAGCTCAGCAAAGAGAGAAAATACATTAATTTGACATAAAATTAAGTTTTTTACATGCTTTAATATCGATAACATACATGCTGTTTGAACCATTTGATAGGTTAGCAAGCTCCCTATTAGCAAGCAGCTATGGCAAGGATATAATAAGAAAGCCCTGCCAACAGCACTAACTTGCCATGCAGAAAAAATGTTTTCCTCCAAACCATAAGCATTAAATTTCTGAATCTTCTACAACTGGCTACCTGCATTTTATCTGTTGATACCTGTGTGCCAAATGATCTGTAGCATGTTGCAGTATTTTATTAAGAATTTTCATCAGGTGTTCAAAGATAAAGCTTGCTATTGCATTTCTTACACTAAAGGAGCATAAAAACGGCAAAGCTGAAGTATAACCAGTGTAAGATTTTAGGTTGTTGGGTTTTATTTCTTCTCAAATAGTGGACTTATTACAAGTTGTAATGTGATAGAGTCTAAACCTACCCAGCTTCTGGCAGATTCTCTTAGCCTCTTCCACGTTATACACAGAAAAATTGTAGAATGCCATGTCAAAGGCATAACAGTGATCCCTGTACTGCTCCCACTGCAGGGAGCCACTGCTCTGTGGACATCCAGAGGCTCTGCTTGCTTGCTTTGCCTCTAATTTTCTCTCTGCAAAGACAAAGAAATTGCTGTTATTTCTGCTGCAGCAGTTTGTGCACAATCTCTGGAATAACAGGAAAATAAGTATTAACAAGGGCTACTACTCCTACCAACAACCACTATTCAATTAGCTTACATTCCTTCTTCTTGTGACATGTATGAATTTATTTAAAAATTACCATAAATCCCAAAGGCTTGGGAACAATTTTTCATTGCTTTTTTGTGGTGTTTGACATTTGTTATAGATATATTTGATAGGTACTTTGATTTAGAAAAGATACATTTGATATTCCTATCACAGATGATCAAGAAGTAACCAGATTTGATTTAGGTTTTCACCACTGGAATGATGAGAATTTATCTCCCTGCAGTATTAGAAAACTCCTCTTAAAAAGCGAACCATCTGCAGTACTTCAACCTTCATTTCTACTTCTAAATAAAACATGTAAAGACAGCCAACAAAACCTTAAAAATAACACTTACTGTTTGGAGGGCTATAGCAAATGGCACCTTCAGCAACATTTGTACATTTTGTACGGTTCCAAAATCCTTTAGTATCCAACACAACACAGTTCTCAGTAGTATTTGAGTTTTCCAATTCCCAGGGATAGTAGTCAAAGTCACTTCCATCTGACCATTCAAAATTAGTTTTACTTCCCTAATTAAGGAAAAAACCGGTAACTTTTAAACCACATATGACTGTGCTTTAAATGTCATCCATCATGAATTAAGTCATGTAGCAATATTTGCCCCTTGTAGAGTGATAAATTAAAGAGCAGGTGGTCTCATCTAAATTCACAGCAAATAAACATACAATATAGTTTGCATTTTCTTAACATAGAATTTTTTGTTATTTGTGGGAACTGAGAAAGGACAGCAAGTTCACAAGTTTAATGTGAATGCAATGTGCCTGTTTTATCCTATGGGGAACATTTTACTTAGCTCCACCCTGCTGTTTCATTTAAGCAATCTGCCTTCCCTGCCATGAACATTAATGGATACATTGCAAACTGCTAAACTGTTGAGATGGTCTCAGTGAGTAAAACTGGGCAGCTCAGGGATGGTTTGCAGTGCCAGCTCCTACTTCAGATACATTCCTGGAAACCCATGACAATGAGGGGTCAGTTGTGAAGGACCCATTTGAAGGTATGCACAGAAATCCCACCTCTGCAGAGGAGTATTCCTGCCAACTAAATTAGTGAGGGGAGCAGGGTCAGGGCCACAGGCTTTTGGCTCCCGGTAAAGCAGAGGAGGAGGATCTGCAGCTGCCTCCTGCCATTGTGTTTCCTGGGAGAATGGACACTGAACTTACTGAGAGCCAGCTCCTGAACTGCTCCGGAGAGCCAGTCCTGATCTCAAATAAGCAGGTTCCACACAACCATGTCTGCCTCTATTTGCTAATGAAATCTGATTCTACAGAGGGCTATAAAGTCTGAAGCCTCCTGGGGTAGAAAATCACACTTCCTTGTGCTGCAAGGAATGATGAGAGAACAGTGTATTATTTTAAACTGTCAGGTATTAGGAAGAAATACCTTGGTGTGCCTACATTCACCAAAACTTAGCATTAACACATTACACAAGGTCGAAAATACACCACATGTAAAACAGATTCTAAGGGACTGGAAAAAACCACCAGAAAATATTTTGTATCTTGTCCAAAATATTATTCACATATCTGTTACTGACGTCCCCAACAGTATATACTTACATCATGAATTGACAACCCGAGCCACAGAGGATAACCATCCTGTTTGACAATATCTTCTAGAAATAACTGTTCTGATTCACTGTGTACGCTTGCTAAATCACTGTTATTTTGTTGGCAAGATCTCAATGCCTCATACCACGTTAATTTTTTCTGAAGGATCCTGTATGTTCTGTTCCCATGTGGAATAGTGTCAGGCAATGGAGGCTTGTGCTGTTGGTGTCCTGTTTCAAAGAATAAGATGGTAAGTTGCATACATTTCTTTCATGTTACTAGGCAAAAATACAGAAAGCATTAAAATCCATCTGTATCAGTGTAACTCAAGCATTAAAGTGCTCAGTACAAGCCACTTCCATCAAGTTAAGTTTACTTTTGCTACTTGGAACACTGAATTCAGCAGTTGCTGGATGAGAACAGCAAATATTTCTCCTGATCAGAGTATCACAGCAGTGATGCAGACTGACTAGATGACCCCAGACAGCTCATGACAGCTGTGCCATGCTCCACTAGGAGCAAAACCAAAGCTTTATTCAGCAGGAAGCATGATTTAAATTATGACCCTCATCCAATACTCCAGTACTACTCACCCCTTTCGATTTTACAGGCGAGAATACTGTACATGTTGTAGTGATTAGCATGCCAACTTTGAGAATAATTATAAATATCCCAAAACCCATCAAGATTTACACCAGCAAAAAAACTGTTCTTCTTTATGATAGGTCTTCCCAGCCTCCAGTTATTGTAAGTCAGATGAGTTTCATCATACCACTTGAGTACTTTATCTGTGGAAAACATTGCATATTTATTAAACAACTGGGATGATGTCTACAAATACTATTTAACTTTGAATATATTAATGATATTAACAGATGTTCACTTTGGAAAAAATGCTGGGATACTGCAAGTTACTCTAAATCAGTTCCATATCCAATGCTAAATATGTTAGCATTACTCATCCTGGCCACTTTAAGTCCTGCTTTCCAGGGAAATCAAATTTAGACTAAACAGAACATATTGGATCTAATTATCACTCAAACAGAGAGCATGTCAGGTTTCTTTTTCTAGAAGATAAGTAGAAATATAAATCATTGTTACAGGTTTGCATTCACTTTGACTTTAGTTATAAACCGAAACATGCAAGAAACATGCACTTAATGCTGCAAATTTTGTCTCCAATCCAGTTAATAAGAAAAAACCAAACCCTTAAATCTTACCACTGTCATCATAAATCACACCCAGCCAGACCCACAGAGCCAGACCACTGAACGAATGAAGCTGCTCAGTAACAAAGTTATTCTCCTCTTCATCTCGAACACTCAGAACAAATGCTTCGGGGTCTGTGGAAAATTTTTCACATTAATTTCTTACAAATACTTACAAATTCTTAAGTTAAAAAATAAACATTTTTTTCTATTACTGTTAACAATCATTACAGACAGGTTAACATCTGTAAAGGCTATATCTTTATAACATAACTAGCTGAACAGTGCAAAACCAAATTTCAAATGTATTATCAATAGTACTATCCCTGGTTTTGTGGATAAGTGGAAGATTTTAGCTCCAGAGATATTTGTGGGTCCTACTGTCACATTAAGTTGTATGTAGTAAAAATTCTCTGCAAAGAACATAAAAATACCAGCAAACTTTCGTGATTTGCTTGAACTGCCCTAGTAGAGAAACAATATTAAGAAAAAGACTGAATGGAAATCAATTCACAAAAAAATAAAAGTAATTTCTGGGAAGATGTATGTCTGAATGTTTAATACAAGAGGAAAGCTGCTCCTAAGGTTATACATTATTCAGGATGGACAGAAAACATCCATGTGCTTTTCAGTTTATTTACTTTGTTCACCTACGTGTTCCACCCAGCAAAGCTGGAGGCAGCAGGAAACCATGAAGGAAATGTAACTGTAAAGCCACAGTGTTGCCAAGGGTACAGCAATTATCCAAACTATTTAAAACTGGCATATAATAACAAAACCCCCAAGCAAACACAAAAAACTTGCCATATTTCAGAGATGTCAGAGTTCAGTAGCTCCCAGCTGCCTCTTTCTACAACTCTCCTCTCCATGCTCAGGCAGTTTTTATCAGAGTAGTCCAACACTACTGCATTACTGATACAGCCTTTCTCAGCATTCATTCTGCTGTCATTGTAAGACAGTGACCCAGATCTAACACTCATCTCCCTCAAGCTAACTCCATAAATAACTGCAGTATGACAAAGTACTTACTCATGTTCCTGCATAAATGATGAGCTTCATGAGGCTTCAGTTCTCTCCATCTATTTTTTGTTATCATAAAAGTGTAACAATTATTTCTAAATGATATCCAGGGTGTATTTTTAATCTTATGTGGGCACTTCACTTGTGTAACTTGTTCTTTTTCAGTTTTCTCTAAAAAAAGACAAGACAACATCAGGACATGAATTACTAATAACACCACCTGACCTGGCACCCCACAAAACACTTTCAGGTACCACTTAAAAACATGTAAGACAAATTAGGCTGTCATCCTTTAAATGTGTTGTTTTCAGTTTCCTCATGATGGTGATTTTTTTAAAGTAACAAAACCAGCAGTAAGCTCTACTAAAGAACACAGATACTTGCCAGTTTTCACGGTTATTTTAAATAGGTTCAAAAATAAAATACTACATAAAAGTGCTAAGTGTAGGCCAACAACAAAAAGCTCTTATTGCCTCTTGTGCAAGGCAGATCACTGTAATAAATAAACTGCTTTACAGCTAGCAACACCTCTAAGTTCTATGGCTTTTTCTAATATTTGAGGAATGAGGAGGACTCTTCCTGCAGTTCCCTGGCTTGTAAGCACAAAATAGTTAATGATGTCATAACATCACATTTTATTGTGATTTAGGATGTACAATGGCTTGTGTTCCCTCACAGAATAAAATCAAAACAAATCATAATGGTCTCATAGGGAAGAAGTTGGTGATGATGTCTCAGGAAAATCTTTTTCTGAAGGATTCACAATTAGCACAGCTCTTTCCTGGAAATGAAAAACCACATCCTACTATATCCCAGTCTTCGTATAATAAGTAGATATTTAGAAGGGTTTTGTGAGATTATGTTAATTTTCAATTCAGTGTCTACCTTCTACCTTCCTCCTCCATATAGTCATGTACCTTCTCCCTGTATAGGATTTCCATTTCTGAGCAGATTTCAGGAGGTCCCAATATTAAGATGTAAATAGTACAGAGGTATTTTAATCTTCTCCCAGAAGCAAGTGGGAGAGATTAGTATGCAACAATCTTAGAGAAGCAGTGCAAAGTTATAATCAGTTGGCAATAAAGGTTCATAAACCCAATGAATCCATGCTGAATTTATTTCTAAGGTACAATTAGATTAAGACCAACAGGTTCATGCCCCCATTTTTGAAGTCAGTTTTTTTTCTAAAATGGCATAAAAATCAGACTGTCAGAGGAAATGTAAGTTTTAAAAAATTATAATTTTGAAGTCACAAGCTTCAATCATTGAATATATTTCATAATAAAATAAAAGTCAACTTTTATAAAAATTATGGTAGCATACATACTTTCTGATGTGTAGCAAATAGCACCTCGATTTTCAGAGGAACAGTCAGAAGTTCTCCAGAAGCCATCAGTATCCAAAAACACACATTCTTCATTTGTTTCTTCATCATCTTCAGACCAGCGACTAAAACTCACGTGTTTCCCATCCAGCCACCCGTAATGTTTTCCACCCTAGCATTATTTAAGCAAAAAGGATGAGCTCACATTGTAAAAAAAAATTTAAGGTGCAGAAAATTACATTATAGTATATTTACACTGGCTAGACATTTTCAGTGTCTCTAATGAGAACTGTAAGTGTTCCACTGCCCTCATGAACTGATTTCCTGCTTACAATATAACAAGCTTTGTTATTTTAAGTTCTGCAGTTGCAAAAATACAAATTAGCTGAATGCCAAATTATCCAGAGGTGATATTTCACTGCTGTACACAGGGAGGAAGGCCTAGCAATAGGATGCCCAAATTGCATCATTTGCATCTGCAAAGCAAAGGTGGATATAATCTCCTGGTCTTGGAAAACTGGAAATAACTGAGAAGAAAGTCTAGACTCAGTAACTCCACATTGAGTTGAAAGTGATCTATTAAATAATTGATTTAATACCTCAGACGTGTTCCTGCCCTGGAGGATGCAGGAAGAAAAAACCCACATACAAGCAGCATGTTAGCCTTTAAAATCTTACATTTGAAAGACTTTGGGAAATCCCCCTACTGTTGTGTAATTTATCTTGCATTTATTCTTTTGTGTTGGATTTCAGCCTGGAGTAACAAGTTCTGTTGACCAGTTGCATTATAATTTCCCTTCATGTGACATTTTAATTGTGCCCAAATAATGAAGTGTTGCAATAGTGAAGAGCCAGTGCATGCCTGAACTATATGCCCCAAAATGAATCATTTGATCATCACTTACAGATAAAAAAAAACAAAAGAGACAGGAAAATAGGTTGTCTGATTTTCTCCATTTTCACTAAGATTAAATGGTTATTTCCTTTAAAAATTTAAAATTATTCTCCATAAAGCATGTACTCCAATTTCTGTTTTCCCCTACTTTACTAAAGTAGTCAGTATCCCAGAACTGACAAAAGAACATAACACCACAGTGCTGAGTGACCATCACCATATTTTGCAGGGGAGGCACTTCTAAAAAAATTCTTTTTCTTACAATGATCTCCTGACTTATGTGTTTGAAAAAGGTAAATGTATGCAAAAAAGATAACCCTGCCAGCAAGCCCAAACCATCCCATTAACAGCTGCTCTCAATTCACAATAAAGATTTTTCAAGAGGTCCTCCAGCTAATAAAGATAAAAAGCAGAACTTCCTGCATTATTTCATTTTTTTTTTGACCAAGAAAAAAACATAGGGAGAAAGAAAAACCCACTAACCTGTCTCAGAGATGCCTCCCTCAAACTCAAAACATGGGCACAAATAACATGAAGTAACAACAGAATCTAAGTTAAACTTCAGAAATGTATCTCTACAAGTATTCAATGATTCATTTTGAAATTTATTTGCCACTTCTAGTTTCTCCCTTCCAAAACAGATTTTTGGGTTGTCTTTCTAGAGTGGTACTGTAAACAGTGGTGAGGAATGGCAACACTCATTACTCATTTGTTAACCAAAGAAATGACTCATTAACCTATGTTGCTGCCACCCTACAATATAACCCTTCATCATCAGTCTTTTAAAATAATTTTATCATCATCATCAATTCATCCAGTGGAGTTCAAGAATATGTAACTTGAAGAACTGAAGGTTTAAAACATTTATCTTGAGACACTCCAGATGGTTATCCCTATATGAAAAGAGTTAGCCCAGAAAGTAATTTGTCATTGCATTTCTTTAATTCAGGTTTTGTTCCACATAACTGTAAAAACTACCTTAAGCCACAGTCTGAGGAAAAAACCAAACTTACATCTCTGCTGAAGAGTCCAGTCCAGAGTGGGTAATTATGAAGAGCGGCCTGAACAGCAAGAAAAGCCTGCTGGAACTGGTCTGTGATGCTAACCAGCTGCATCTTGTTATTTATGCATGCAGCCATTGCATCATTCCAGGACAAATTCTTCAGAATTAACATGTATTGAACATTTTGATAGCTCAATGTTTCATTAATGACTTGCTCTGTCTGGTTATCAGCAGCTCCTATACATAAGAAAGAAATCCAGTAATTAGGTAGTTAAATACTGTAATACATTTTCAACTCCCAGTGTCTCTGTAACAATCAGAAAAACCTGTTTGACTATGCTTGGGGAAAAAAAAAAATCTTAGATAGTGGGTTATGCTGGTAATTATAGTTCGAAGAAAACATCTTTGATATCTTAGATAGAAAAATATATATTTTAAAAAAATATTATTTTCAGCCAATGTATTATTAAATATCTTTTTCTCAACTTAGGTTGACATCTTTTTATATGTTATTTTTAGCTAACTGCTAAATAACTGAATTAAAAACATATTCTATAACTTTATACACAAATGCAAGAGAGCATCTGCTGTAATACAGTGACTCATTTATCTCTGTGGATTTATGCTGATGCAAATCTAATGGGCCACAAAACCTGTCTATGCAGATCTCGGTACAGCACAGTCCCAGGACTCCTTACTGCCATCCATGAATACAGTGAGAACTGTTTTTGCCTCCACTTAACTAACTGCAGAAAATGCAGCTTGCATAGGGAGGGATGTAATTCACTATTTGTGCTCTGAGCACGGAGTGTTATCACAGCTACCAGCACCACGCCTGAAGGCACACAGCTCAGTGATGCATGGCTTCTGCAGTTAATAGAAGATGCAAATACTCCTGTGGGTGGTAAGGTTTTGCATGCAAATAGTAACCCCAAAAGCTTTATACACAACCAAAAATAAATTCATTCTGCAAAAGGCAGAACACTCCTGATATTTAAAATATTTGAAGTAGAAAAAGGCTTTCAAGGGGTGAGGGGAAGCATCACTCTATAAATAACAGTATATAAAAGGCTGATTGATAGGCTGACAGGGCCATTTTCCAAAACACGAGACGACAGAAACACAATATTGATTTGATGTTTACAGCTTTCAATAGATCAGAAATCTGACAAGGCTCAAACAGATTGTTTCAAGTGGTTTCTGTCTGCTGCCAAATGCTTTCACTTAGTAAACAGCTACAAAAGAGAGCCATGGAACCCAGGGTGCCATCACATCAAGGGGTACCAAATTGGAAACAAGACAGTAAGTAAAATGTTCATTTCTGAAAAATAATTGCTGATGATTATCATTTCAAGAAATTCTGCAAATCACAATCATGCCAGGATTTCCAATGAACATGAATAATCCTTTTCCCGATGATAAAGCCCTAGAAAACTTGGACTGTCTCACAACTGTCCCTACAACCTGCTGAGGTCCCTCCCAACCCAAACTATCCTTAGATCCCTAGCACATTATAAGACCAGACCATAGCAGGACACATTCTTCATCAGTCCAAAAACCTTTCTCATTACACCTTCTACAGCTGTGGCAAAGAAAGCTTGAATATTTAGTCACTCCAGACTAATAAAAGATTGATATAAATAGATGCATTGTCAACCTCCAATTCATAAAAGTCTCCTTTTCACATTTTTATGACATCTCTTCCATCCAGACTTCTAATCTTAACACTTAGAATTTCTGGAGTATTTGGCACCGAGTAAAGAAGATTTTGTATGTTAAATGGAAGTTAAATGGAGGTGGGGAGGGTGGGAGGTGGAAATCTCTGCCTATTTGAGAATGAAGAAGGTGGGCGAAGGCTTGGGCGTTTTGTACACCTAGGTTTCTTTGTGTTTGATTGTTTTTTTTAGAAGACAGCATGTTCATCACTTAAAAGGATTATTTATATAAAGGAACCTACTCAGAAGTGGGTATGCTGAACATTAGCCCATAGCAGTAATTAAATGCACATAATAACTATATGTGTTTGATCTTACTCCAGTAATTGCTATTGGCCAACCCACATGGGTACATCTGAATATTATTTTTAGTTCAGATTAAAAATCCCACTCACACCAACTCTCAAGTTTGCTCTGGGGAGAGACCAACTTCAACACTAAGAGTCTATGATACTTTATATTCTCATAGAACCAAAAGACAGAGGATCTATTTAAGGAGGATATAAATATTGTAAGATTCCTTCCTAGGACTTCTCACTTCCACAGTTTTGAAAAGGAAAAAGGAGTCACTTGTTCCACCCCTAAGTGCATATGACCTCTATACCCACAGAACATTAAAGACCCTGAATTCTGAATGGCTGATAAAACAGGCCCCAGACACTCCTCTAGACTCTGCTTTTCTAAAATTTACCTGCTCAGTCTCTACAAGAATCTTGCTCTTCAAGTGAAATAATTTACATGCATTAAAGTCTTCTGTTTAAACTCCTTAAGTTTAAACTCGGGCTGCAATTTATTTTGACTCTCCAGACTTACCTATAGACCGCTGGCATATACCCAAGAAGTGCCTGTCAGCACAAGCAGTGAAATTCCATGTTCCAACATACTGTGATTTGGGATCATTGAGGATTACGCCACACTGATTGTTAAATTCTTCATCAAAAAGCTGGGAAACAGAAATATCATTATCAGACTCAAGGTATAAACATATTTGGGTAGAAGTAAAGTAACCTAAGTCTAGGAGAACTCTATCTGTCTGAACTTGTTTAAGAAGAGGAGTGGTGCAGCACAGCTTACCTGTTTTACAAACACTACCAGATGCCTGAAATCAAAATGTTTCTAAGCTAAAAACACTTCAGAAGTTGTCATCCAAGTAAAGGCAAACAGAACTCCAGTACTGTCAGACACCCTGCTGGCCAATTAAAATGACTAACTGGGGAATTTGGTCTGCTACATGGGGCTTTTTTTGACACAACATTCCAAAGTTCATTACTCAATAGGCAAGAGAAGTCAAAAAATCAGAACTTACATCCAGTGGAATTTTCCTTAATCTTCCTGTCAGGAGTGGGTGAAAGTTACTATACAACAGTCTACTCTCATCTATCCATTTGTTTTCTCTTGTACTGAACAAGAACTGCAAACCAATCCAAATATCTTTTGGCAGGCCAGGAAGCAAGGATGTTATATAATCTGTTGGACAGAACAGTAAATGTACATATTGTGGTTAGGAAAACAACAGAAAACATCTGAAAGAATACTTCACATAAGTAAGACTATGCAGTCCCTGTTTATGCTAATTTAATTTTTCCAGCCCTTCCTGACTCCCAAATGCTTATCATCCCCTTCCTCCCATATGATAACACCTCTCATATTGATTTTATCTGACAGGAGCAGGCTGTTGGTATTTGTCCTTCAAATTCTGAGTTGAGGAGAAGGTAGGGGATTTAACCTGTTCTTCTGCCCACTAATTTGGAGTCTTTTTACTTACAAATTTAAGAAGTTGCTTTTCCACAAGCCTGCAAGATCTTGTATTGTTTCACTGCCCTTTTTGAACTGAAGAAGGAAATCTTATTTCCCATCTTTCTCTTTTATATACCATAAATCAGAACATTCTTTGGATTCTGGCAGAGTTTGTCCACCCCACCATCAGAGAAAGCAAAACGGGTCAAAGAAAGTCAGATTCAGCTGAAAAAAAGTCAGCCAGGTAAACCTTCAATCAGACCCCTCTCAGTGAGCATTCTGGCAAGAAACAATGGGCTTTAGTAACCCCCCAGGCATCAGAGGCAGTCACTAAACTTGACTAGTTCACAAGACAAATCGAAGCTATGTAATTATCTACTGCTGACATGTTTTAACTATTGGTCACATGCCAGACAAGCCACAGCCTATTTTCTGAAGGACACAAAGCCACTGTAGATTTACAAGTCAGGACTAGCCCCAATACCACCGGGAGGAGTAGAGGCAGCCTATAGAAAGAAACGCATTTTAAGAAGAGAAAAGCAAGACACAATAACAAACACTTCCAAATGCACCAAATCACAAAAGGGATCCTGCTATGTAACATTTCAGAATGGCTGTGCTTTTCCAACCTTAAATACATACAAAAACACGTAGGCCTAAGACATGTATATTCCTGTATATAACACTAATCCTCCCCAATAACAGCGGTAAAAAAAAATTACCATTAAGCTGCTGCCTGCAGGTACACTCTTGACTTCTCTAGTCTACTTACCATGTTTTGTTTGGCAAGGGGTTATTTGCTTATAAAGAAAATATGCACTGTGGGCACTGCAGAATTCAACCAAGCTACTTCAGATATACCCTCAGAGAACTCTTAATTATCCACAAGAATAAAGTTGCAAATTCAGCCACGTCATTCGGCAGTTTGTTGCTGAACATTACTTGCAGCCAATGTGAACCCATTTCTTCCCCACTGCATTTCTCTCATTGACTTTAGTTGATTAAGGTGAAACAGTTCTGTTTTCCAGTTCTCCTGCTTTCCATCCTCTCATCAGTGTCCGTAAGAGCTCACAGGGGGTCATTTTGGACACATGGCCACATTAAACTGCTTGGCACATGCAGAAACAAAGATAAATTTGTGCTCCAGCTGGCATTGTATTTGCCATCTCATTCCCACAGCTGAGCTTCTCTTGGAAGCAGCTTCTATGGTGGTTTTTCACAGTGCAAAGTCTACAGTTTCAGTTATGTTTTAGCTTGCAAAGCCACACAATTCTTCAGTCAATAATGACCTTTTTATGCTCAACTCTCAGTGCAAGGTTTTGCAACTTTTTTCTTCTTGTAACAGGTTAAGATCATACAGAGAAGCTGCTCTTTAAGCTGATTCAAATGTCTGCTAACTGCATTTCCATCTTACGTTTCCAGTGATGCAAACAACAGACAACACATTTTTAACTAGTCCTGGATTTTTAGACTGCTCCTAGTATGCCTGTGGATAACCAAGTGATTTGCTCAAGTTCTTAAGCAGAACCATTCTGAATGTGGAAGAGAAGCTGCATACTAAAGTGCCACCAGCTCACCACCCTACCTTGGTCAGCTTGATCTGAGATAGATGGAAGAGAGCCTCCAAAAGTTATGCACTTTTCATTAGCTGCATTAAATGTTAAATGTTCAGGTTTCATCTTTAGAAAACACTGCAAAATAAATATAATGAAAATTATTTTCATCATAACATTCTGCCTAAGACATAAATCAATATGTAGAGGTCCTTAAACCAACCCTAAAAACCTCACTTCTCATTTCCTTCAGTAACTTATAACTATTTTTTGCAGAAAGCAAGAGACCTGATAGTAGCTGCAAGCATTTATTTGGTTCAGCATAGTAGCTAAATATAAAATGATCTCTTTGACTAACTCCTTATTAATATTCAGTAATTCTTATTTGCTACATCAGAACATGTACTGTTTTAGGAATGAGAACTCACACATGAACTCTGCGGCCAGATAGTGCTGGTCAGGAACTTGTAATAAGCTACCTTTGGGGTAAAACTACATAGAAACTCCAAGGTCTATTCTGCAATGATGTGAAGTAAGCTTGCAAAATTTGGCAGAATTCAATGTGCAGATTTGATACAGAATAATGGTGGAGCAAACAACAGGAATGAATATCACTAAGACTCTACATGACTGCCTTAAAATGTAATACTGCAATAATTAATAATACTATGGCTTCTGACTTCTTGGTTAATTCATAAAAGCTGTCACTAATTCTTAACTAAATTTAATCATTAAGGCAACTCAGGAAACAATGTCTGCCGACTTGTTGTCTTGCCTATGGTTACTCCAGAAGAGACACAACATGCTTCTGCCACAGAAACCTCATCCTCTCCTAATCCTAATCTCATCCTCTCCTAATCTTCCTAATCCTTCTCTTCATTCAAAGTAGAAGCCCAAGATTAGACAACCAGTGTACAACACAACCAGTGTTCCTGGACTGTGGTGATGGTGTGTGTGGTGTGGTGTGGTGATGGGAAAGCAAAACAACCTGAGAATGAATGCTTTGAATTTAAGAAACCATCAGTGCTGAGTAAGGGACAAAAGGGGAAGAGATTATTTTAATCACTACACTTAGTTTTCAAAAGCCCATTTTTAGTATATTCCTCACCAGAGGGGCTACCTCCTTCTTTCTTTTAGAAAGGGATTCCAGCTTGATGGACTATGAAAAATAGGCAAGGATGATGAATCTGTGTTATTGTTGTACCTTATTCCGGAACTGATGCCAGCGGCAGTTTCACATTACAGTTAACTGGGTAGTCTGCAGAAACAGAAGTTTTTAAAAACAGTTATGGTAATGCCTCTCACACTCCATTTGCTATTCATACCTTATGACATAAAGACCAACCCGAAAGGAAACCTTCTTTGGTGCAACCACATTGAACTACTATTACGCAATAGAAAGTATTAAAAATAGCAGTAGAGCAACAGTCAAGTTCATATAGGCAGAGAGAACTTGAAAACAGAGTATTATTGAATAAATATTTTTATATGAGGACTAACCTTGTATTCTGGCAAAGAGGGTATGTCTAAACGTCAAAAAAAGCCAAAAGGAAACCTTTAACATCTACAAGTAGAGCATCTGACCTGTGCTGTATTACATGACTCCTGCAGTCATAAATGGACTGACTTCCTAGTCTAGAACAATTTTAGGATAACAGAGATGAAAACAGTTAATCAGCAAACAACTGAATAATGGGGAAAATGTGCTTAAAATGGAAATGGTAGAAGACAGGAGGATTTCTTGTTCACTGGAAGTTATACATTTTCCTTAACATACAACTGTTGAAAAAGGAAGTAATAAGCTTCAAGTACCACCAGGTGGCTTTTTCATTACTTTGTCTCTTACAGTATGACTCCAATAGTAAATGGAATTTGTGTCTCCAGATGCGTACATGGTTCCAAGTACAGAGTCAACCTCTCTAACTAACAGCTCTCAGACAAACTCCAGAGCTCAGAATATGTATCATAAATACAAAAATGTAGCCACCAAAACCAGATTTCACCTAATAATTTCTGTTGCAAAAAGAGTGACAATCTATCATAAAAAGTTGTCATTTGAATTTAGGTTTGCTTCTGGTCATTAAGAAATATTACCACAGCTTCTACCATGAGGCAGAAAAAATGATTCAACAGTCAATCAGATTATCATGAAGAAGCCATTCACTCCTAAATTGGTATCAATTTGCATTTAATAGAAGAGTTTGGGTAGAACAGTAATTACTACTTTTTTTTTTTCTTTTCAAATAAACACAACGATAGCAGAGGGGGTGAAAAAGTAAAAACAGTCTCACCTCTATACCAGTTCTTTCTGGAAATATACCAGCAATCTCTCAGTAATCTATCATGGAAGCGTGGAAATAACTGTAAACTGGACATAAATATTTCAGTGTTAATCTCCAATCCAATGTGACCTTCATGGAGAAATTCTGATGGCAACAGTGTCAGTGCAAACAAAAATTTGGGCTATTAACTGTCTCTAGATGCCCTACCCCAACTAGGCTAGAAATAAATATGTGGTAGGTCCAGCAGTTATGTACTGTGCCCAAATTAACTGTGTTGAGATGTGCAGAATGAGGTTATTTATCACCATGCTGCTATCACAGCACATTGTCAGGACAAGTGAAGGGAATAGGAAATAGCCTTAGTTTTCTTTTTACAATAGTACATTGCTACAATATTTTGGAAAGTGAGGACTTTCCTTGTAAGAAGACAGTGAATCTTCTCTGCAGCCAAGAAGGGAATGATTCAAGATTTGCTGTGAGTCATTCCAACTCTACAAGACTATACTAAAAGCTCTCCAAGACTTTGGCATTACCTAATTAGAACAGTGATGTCTTAAACGAATTTCCCATTCCCTGTTCTTGGGTATTCCTCAATCCTCAGAGTCAGAATGGGTGCTCTTTTTTGTCAGTTCTCCAAGTGTTAACAGAACACAGAAGTTGGCTCAAAACCCCAGTAACAGCATTTCAAAGATCAAGGGCATACATTAGCTATGAGGATCATACATTTCAAGGATTCCCACAGCAAGACTAAGATGCTTAAGCCCAACAACCCAAAATTAGAGGCTCTGATAACACACACAAGAAATGGATTACTAACTCAGTTACAATAAAAATACTATGAATTAACTACTCTAGTTAACAATTCCTAAGAAGTACAAAATAAAACTTCCAAAAAAGCATCTCATAATTATTCTACATACGGTGAATGATAGCTGTAGCCATAATCAATAAACTTCAGCCACCACTTCTGTTCGCTGTTTGATAACTGTGGAAGTAAAGAACAAAACCCAGTATTTTACAACCCACATAGAAAGAGCTCCTGACTCCACCAAAGACAGAGTGATGTAACAAAATTAGTCACAGAGGTACTGAAACTTGACATGTTTTTCTCAGACACCTTACAAGAATGTACTTTCATTCCATGAACAACACAAACCCCTGTCAATAAAGCCTATCAGACCACCATGCATTTCTAATTAAATCCTCTCAAAAGGTGAAAACCTATACGTTGTTCCATGCACAAAATTAAGAACCAGCACAATTGTTAATGAAATATTTGCAGACAATAGGATGCTTTCATGGTGGTCCTGCTATGACACTTTTCCAACATACAGAGAGTTCTGTGTTTTTTTAATGTTGTTAAACCTACATTAAAATTTAAAAATTCTTTTACCAGACTGCCAATAAAATAATTCACTTTTATCCCATCTATTTCTTTTAAGTACAATTGAAAACCATTGGGGCCAACAGGAAAAAGAAATAAATTAAGATTAACATTTTCTTATATTGGAAAACTTGGCAAGTAAATTTTCCTGCAATGGAAAGTAACTGTGAAAACAGATTACACCCCTTACCTTTTCTATTTGAGACAGTATTGTCCTGAGTTTTGGGTAAGACTCTACAGAGGCTAAATCACTATCATTTTTTTGACAGTAGAAAATAGCTTCCTGGTAGCTCAGGTTTTTATCTGGTACAAACCACAGCTCTGCTCCATCAACAACAAGCGGGGCTCCATGAATTCCAATTTCATCTATACAGAAGAAATACCACAAGAGAAAGAAACAAATTCAGAAGTACAAATATTGTCTTTTTCTGAATGTATTAAGAAATCTCAATTTGACACTGGGAAGAGTCAATGCTCTTCGTTTTGAACTCACTCAAAATCAAATTCTATCAAATTCTATCAGTTCTAACCTTTTCTGGTATGAAATAGGTATTGCAGTAGCAGTGTAACAAAACTAATAAAAGATATTGAGTATAAACAACCCTACACACATAGTGGAAAAATACAAAAGAAATCCAATTACCTGGTATATACCACTCTGGTGTCTTTGGAGTGCTACCTGTCCAGAGGAAAAAAGGAAAAGTCACTGAATTCACCTTCTAATAGTGTGGCCACAAATAACAGAAGTGATGGTTAGTACTCATACTCCTCAGTATTCATGATGATAACAAAGGAAAATGAAATCATACAGAGCTGGTACAAAATTAATGGTAGTACTGCATACCTCCATCTTATACATCTGTGGTTCTTCCATCTCTCAAACATCAAAGTAGTATTTCTACCAGAGTCCCATCCCAACAAGAAAGTTTCATCCCAAGACACTTCTTAATCAACAATCCAAATGTAAAAGTCTACTGGATTACATTTCATACAGCATGAAAAAACCTGGATCTGTGCAGATATGCCATGCTATTCTTTTGTATTCCTATTCCTCTGTTTCACTACAACGAGAAGCTAGTACACCAGTTTTACCAGAAGAAGGCTAGTTCACCTAAGGAGCAAACTGTACACCCAAAATATTTGTGGTGATTTAGTTAAAAATATCACTGAGAAAGAGTAAGTCAAGTTTACAAATGCTGCAATTCAGTGGCTTATATCACTGCACAAGAAACCACTTCTTACTTCATGGGACTAGAAAGAATACTAGAGCAGTGATACTGCATCCTCCAGGGTCAAATTCTGACCTAAGTGTACATCTGTTTGTATGTGGTATTAGTGAGATATTTAATGTACTGTCCTCTTAGCAGTTCAGAGAAGAAACAGTAAAATATTGTTCAAAGTTTCTATTATAGGGCAATAATTACAACTCATTGCATTAAACTCTTTATATGAATAAATTGATGTAACTGCAGTTTACCTTTTGTTATCTGGCAGACCCATTCAAGCTTAGCTTCACAATCAAAAGGCCTGAAGTAAAATTCCAGATCTCTGCCTTCATGAAAGTAAAATCTCCAAAATGATCTCCGTGAAAACTGTGAGGTCTGCATATAAGTAGAAACAGAGAACTGAGTTAGGACAGCACAAGCCTTTGAAATGCAAAATTAAACTGTATTAAAAAGGTCCTTTGGCAAAGTCAGTGTATTTTACTGTGTCATTAGTCACATAATTTATTTTGAAAATAAAAGACCAGATACAGCTATAACTTCAACTGTAACTCTCCATGTTAGCTAATGCTATGAAGCAATTACGTAAAGGGCTTAAGGTCAGTCTACATACAAACATCTTAAAAGTCTTTTCTAGAAATAATGTTTCTTAGGGTTTTTGTAGTGCCCAGTTTCTTTTCAATGCTATTGCAATTTGTTCCCCTGAAATGATTCTCATGGCTGCTGAAAAGAAGAAACCACCTAAACTGGCACAGAAACAATCATTCTTATTTAAGATTATTTCTTACAATCAAGCTTGAAGAACTGACTTTACTCTTGCTGGTCTCTCCAGTAAGAAGAATGTTTTTATCATTTATTGACATAACATGTCTATAGCAGGGAGGAGAGGAAAGTTACTACATTCACAGTATTCCCTTCAAAGTGCTCTCCTTTGTATAAAATTTCAGGAGCTCAATGCTGACCAGCTTCTCAGTCTGGGGTCATGAGCACTGGAGAAGCGAATGAGGGAAATGGCTGTGAACAGAAGGAAAGGAATGCAAGTATCCTTTCCCCCAGTAAACCCTAAAAGCAGAGGTGGTTCTATTTAGGTTAAAAGGGATGGTAGGTACTGCAAAAAGTCAGATGATACTTCAGAAAAATTAAAGCCTATTTTAAAACTCATGCCATCAAGACTAAATTAAGTATTGAAGAGCTTAATCAGGAATCAGGCTGAGGTCTGACATTTGAAATAAGAAACCAGCAGAACACATACAGTCTATTTCACAAGTAAACAAGGAAATACACACAATAAACACAAACACATGCTCTGTCCTGGCTACTGCATTCCTCTTCTTCAGGTTTTAAACTCTTTCCTTAATCAGTAGTTAAGAAAAGCTAACATAGATTTTAAAAAGTTACTGGTAGGGCTCTCTGTGCTTCTTTGTTTTAGACTCCATGACACATCCTTAGGAATTATATGGAATATACAAGAGATCCATAATATGGCATTATGCAATACAGAATAGCATTGTTACTAAAATATTTTGTAGTTAAAAAGGTTCATAAGAAGTCCTATGAAAGGTTATCATTAGCACAGTACTTGGTTCATAAAAAAATGGCTAATGGAAAATTTGTAATAGGTGCATATTGATAAAGGGAATACTACAGCTTTTTCACTACGCAAAGAAAACACCTAAACCTAAATTCAGTATACAACTGGAAAAAGTATTTTTTCCAAGCACTTCCAAGTAAAAACACACATTATTAAGGACCTTGAAACTAACCTTTAATGCAGCACAGTCTCTTGTATCATACTCATCTTCCAGATAGTCGAGTGGCATAACAACACTGGTTACCTAACAGGATGATGGACAGGGCGAAAGAATCAGCATTTGATGCTTTGTTGTGGCAATCTTAACAGATAACTATTCAAACCTGGGGTCCCAATATGTTTATTACTATTAAAATAAGTGTTGAATGGCAGCTAGTCCTTCTGTTTTGTGTCTCCATGTCTGTTTTTTTTGGGGGGAGAGGAAAGAACTCACAATTTCAGAAAAATAAAACAATTAGAATGAGGAAGTTATTTTTGGAAAAGTCTGTCATAACAAGGAAATGAGCTGATAAACCCTCCCTTCTGCTGTAGCATGAACACCTTGTTCTCTCCACCAGGTCTTGGATGTTTACTACTATATTTCTGTGAAATAATTTTAATATAATGGAGATGGAAATCAGGTTAACGTTGTTAAAGATATACTTTTAATTAGAAATCTGCTTGGATGACAGCTCTTAAGTGCATGGTCTTCTTCTGAATTACTAATCTGTTGAAAGACCTGACATATTTTAATTAAAATATTTATCAATTTACTTTCAATTCAGTCCTAGCAGAAACAAGTCAGTATATGACATTTCCTGGTCAGTTAACTTACAGGTTTGTTATCACTCCATTGCCAGGTTCCCAAAGAATCAGGACTTCTCTTATTCATTCCAATCCAGACCCATCTGTCATTGCTGTAAATAAACAAGATATAATCTTATGCCAAGCATATGGTACAGCTCATTTAATAGGAAGACTGACCTATGGCATGGCATTATTTAGGACCAAGCAGAAAAACCAAGGTTTTACTGCTGCAAGTTGCAGCAGTTGAAAAAGAAAATAGACACAAGGGCTAGGACCTCTTCTGTACAGAAGAAAACTAACTAAATCAGGTAATTCCTTTGTGGGCTGCATCACCACTTCATCAGCTGTCACTTGATACAATGATCTCTTTTCTACACTTTTCTTCCAGAATCACACACTGTTTCCGTGGTTTGGTTCTCTTTCTGTTGTCTACCTTGGGCTATCTCTCAAATACCAGCAGCTCAAATCCACTCTTTCTCAAACCACAGAAAAGCTTATGTTCAAAGAACTGGCATATTTCCCTTAACTTTTTAAGTGGTATATACACGCTAAACATGGGCACCTATTTCAATTATGCACCCTCATAAATGAGGCATAGACATAAATTAGCACCTAACACAACTGACTTCAATGGTTACATGAACAAGCGGCAGCAGAAATTTTAGCCCTGTCAGAACTGGGTTTTTTCCTAGATTTTACTTCCTCATTTTTCAAAAGCAATAGACACTTAAATCTAAAATTTCAGTTATGTTCTAAGATACAAAATTACCTGAAAGAAACAGGTTTACAATGTAAATACTCCAATCTGCAGTAAGAACCTTTACCATACTCTTTTGCTTATGAATCTAAAGATGCTCTAACAAAGTTAAAGGTCCTAGACCAACTGCAAGGTTAGTTTTCTACTGCAAATTCTCAAAGATTCAATTTTGTGCAGGGTACTGAACTTTCTGATAACTCACTCCAATCCACTACCCAGTCCAAGAAAGTCAAAAGACACTTCTCTTTTTCTCTTTTTGACATTCTCTGAATGACAGAATCAGCTGGAAGCAGCAGAGGGGAGAAAGACCATGAGTTTTCTATGAAATCACAGACTACGTGAAACCACTGCAAGAGCTGTGGAAAAGGCACTCTCATCAAGGTGGTCTGACAGCAACAGCAGAGCACTGGTGCCACATTACAGGGCTCCTGTAGATCAGTATCAGGAGCACTGTCCCATCAGGATGCACCAAGTACAGAGAAGAAACACAGGACATTTGAGGAAATCAAGAGTTTAGGCTATTAACAAGGACTAAGGATTTTCTTGTCTAGTCTTCCCAAAGAAAGACAGGGAAAAGATACAATTATTACCTATAATATTTTAGGATTCTAAACCTGCAAGAAGAGGAGCGATTTGAGCAAAAAGAACATCACGTCTGAGGGAACCACAACTCAAAAAAAAAATTTAAGCTCAAAACTGGACATCTTACCAGCAGAGGTCAGAGTTTGTAAAAGGCTCCCCAGAAAATAGCGCTGACAAGTTCAGTGATTTGAAGCCAGAGCTCAGAAAATTTATGAAAATTACTTTATTATCTGGAGGGATGGACTCGGAATCAAGCTTTGCCACTAGCTTTCCACACGTATCACTACAAAGATACTGAACAGTCTGAAAATACTGACTGTGCAGCACCAAGAAACAACTTAACTCAGGGTATGTGAAATCCAAGAAGGGCAACAGTACTTGGTAAAGGTTCGTTTAAGAAGAAAAGTATCAGCCATCAACAAATCTCATTGTTCTGTTCTTTGTTCTCAACTCCAGTAATAGTTTTCTGACATTGAGCAGTATGATAAAATCACATTAGAGTGATCACACTACCACCAATCTTTAGTCTTTCAATGATACAACTAAGGAGCCTTTAAAGAGCCTAAATGCATCATATCACTGCAGAGGGAAAACTGTAAGCCAAATATTCACAGCTGTCAAGCAGCTATATATAACCTAAAGGCTATTTGCCTTTAGGACTTTATTTTTCTGTGGCTGTTCTTGCAATTCTTGCAATAATTGTTCTTGCAATAAGAAGCAGACATCCCCTCCTAGTTGCCACCTACAGACTTAGTGCAGTTTCAGCAGCTGATCACCACACAGGAATATCTACTAAAAAGGAAGTTTGAGACATTCATTTCAAAACAATTTGCAGTAATTACCTGAGGTTCTAGAGCAATTTTTCAAACTCTTTCAATTTGTATTTGGCTATTATATAATAAATAAATAAATTTAAAAAAAGAAGTGTGCCAGGTCAAGAATTTCCCCAGCTTATCTCCCAATTTACAATTACTAGCCTGCAAACAGAGCAATGTTTTCAACTGACTGGGCCCTTACACATTAATGTACCTCTTTTGCTTCTTTTGGAATTGTTCAGACATGACCATGAATAATTTAGTAACTGCTACACTACACCTGACAGTACTTTTAAGCTTCAGTAAAACCTTCTGATAACCCTCTGAAATTATAGTGTCATCTCATCACAAGAAAGAATTCCACCAACTATTTAAGACAAAGATGAATTGAGGCTCTCTATTGCAATTGAGCTTGCAGCAAGGAATTTGCTTATGCTTCAAGTATGTCTCCTCATTGCAAAGTACTTAAAATTCATCCTATGGACTGATACCAAAATGGATTTATCAGTGACACAGTATTCTTTGAGCCACACTCCTAGAACTGTCTCTAAAAACCGAAAGTATCCTGAGTTTTAAACTAAAGCATACATGCAATTTTGCTTCACAATGGATTCCACACTGATTGACACTGAAAGACCATAAATCTCTAGCAATCCCTGTGGAATACTGGTGTTTTTAATTTTACACAGAGCTAAATATTCATAAAAGTCAATGTACTACAGGAGCGAATAAATACACTTTAGATTGTGAAGGGACTATGAACCTGTAATTTTTCTAATCATATTCGAATTGCCAAAATAGAAAATTTTTTTCTCTGTCCTTTATGATAGCTTCAACACAAGATTAAGAGCCTAAGGGAAGTTTTTGAGGCTTGTAGGTCAACCTAGTTCTTGAGAAGAGGTAAGGTATACATCTGGGCCAACTCCTTAATGGTGCAATTTAAGGCACTATTTACTCTTATGCAGCGCTGACTTAAAACTCTGCATGAAGCCCATCTGGCCACCCTCTTCTCCCTGCTGCAACAGGGTTACACTAGCTACATCACATCCTGCCAATTACCTGCACTTGAGTGGAAGAAAAGAGAAGCTGTATTAATGTAATTACTCTAACTTGCATGTCAGCTTTATTGCTGTTTTGGCCATTCTGTTAAGGTGATTTTTTCTTTCAAACTCAAGTGTTTGTGAGGCTTTCTAGATTCAAAACAATTCCAGCAGCAGAGCTGTTCATATAAAAGGCAACCTGGATTTCTTTCCAGTAAGGCATCCTCGCTGAAATGTTACCTCTAAGCAGTCCAAGCTCTTTCCCCTCCTGAGCCCAGCACTGCTGCCAGCTATAAGATGCAGAACGCTCACACACAGTCCGGAAAGAATGGAAGTAACTGAAGCGGATCTGTTCTGCCTGCATCACGTCCCTTAAAGCCAAAAGAGGTTATCTCCTAGTTCTTCCAGACAGGGGAAGGCTGGCAGGCTAATTTTATTTTCCTTTCCAATGGCAATAGCCTGACTTGGCTGGAGCAATTCTGGCTCCTATTTGACTCTAAGGTGGAATCTGAGTAAAGAACAAAATGGACTAGGCAAGCTGCCCTTTTCCTGGTGAACCAGAATGACTCTTGCTAACATTTAAAAACAAACAAATCTCAGTGAGTCACCAGAGAACTGTGCAAGGGGAAAAAACCCGAAACCAAGAGTCGAGGTGTGGCTCCTTCCCCAAGCTGAAATGAATGCAGTAATCTGAGTCTGCAGTCTCTGAGTAAATACAGAGAATACGAACAAACTGCATGCCAGCACACTCCAGCAGCTAATCACATCTAATACCACCTTAGCATAATTTCTCCCAGTTAGCTAAAGTACTTGTTCTTGGTGAAATAGTTCACATGGTTTCCTATTTCCCATTTCAAATGAGCTTGACTTTTAGATTAACTGCCCTTGACATATGACCTCCAAAATATTTTATGTAATCAACACCTCTGAGTAATTTAAAAGCATAACTATCTTCAACAATTCATCATGTTATGTAAACAAACATTATTTAAAATATCTCAGGCAATATCAACTATGTAGTATTTCAGTTCAGAATGTTCTGAAGTGCTGCAAAAAGGGTAAGCCCAGATGAAAATACTGCATTTTCAGTTGTATCTGATATGAGGAGTTGCTGCAACACCGACTGCAAATCAGTTTCTACCAGGCTCCATACATTGCCCCTCATTTTAAGTTCTGCTGGAATAATATTGAAATACTGTGACTTATCCTCTTTCTGACTAAGCTCAAAATTTCTGAACTGTGGGAAATGCAGGGGAACTGTGTGTAAACTGACTTCCAGGAAAGACAGAAGTCTCCACCTTTAAACTCCTAACAGAAAATATAATTAATACCTTAGTCTGCAAGTTGAAAAGCAATTCCAAGAACTTACTTGTAAGAAAATAAAATGTTATTTGTCTGTTCACATTTCATAGTAGATTAAGTGCACTAAAATAAAATTGAAAATCACAAAACCATCTTATAAGGTCTACAGCTAGAAATAATTTGTGCACTGTTTTTTATTGTGAATTCAGCCAGTTTAGCAAAGGAATCACAAGTGGCTTTTAGACAAGCTAACTATCTATATATAGAGCATACAAGTTTGGTTTTGCCTCTTATTAGCATAAACACTGAGTAATTTTCATGACTTGTGCACTTCTAAAAAAAGTTCACTGGTTTCTCAACCTCTTCAGTCATCAGGTTTAAAAATTTAATCACAGCGTTTTATGCTGGCAGCTTCTGCAATAATCCTGATTTAGTTTGTTGATGAAAAAATTTACATCACATAACTGGCAGCATTTGAGTTTAAGCAGGCAAAAGTTCTGAAAAAACAGACTGTCAATCAAAAAAACATATTACACAAGGATCTGACATCACACCAATGCCTAATAAAGCTTTGCAGTGACAGTTCATTTGATTAAAAATAAAGCTTTAAACTCATAAATTATTTAGCATTTAATCTGTTGATACCAGAACACTCAGCATACCCATCTAATGCCCATACAGTGTTAATGCAGCTATGCCAAATAGGATCTGTGCCAACCAGATTGCTGGACACTACATTATTCACATTTTCAAAAGTTAGCACCCAGTTTAGTCAGGAAGCATTTCATGAATAAAAATGAGATGTATCTTAAAAACTGAAATAATCACTCATCTCTAAAGAATGTACCAGTAAAGAATAGGTACATTTACCATCTAGCTGTGCCAAAATTCAACACAGAGAAGGAAAAATGTATTATAACAACATACTTAGATTTGCTTTGAGCATCTTCCATTACATAAATTTCTGTTCCTGTGCTGCCTCTAGCAATGTGAAATATTTGCCTAAGCTGTACTCCATTGACATTTTCCAGCAAGGCAGTTCAAATGCCACATCTAGCTTTTCCGTGGGAAACACATTTATCACACACTATCTCATATTTGCCACTTGGTGTCAACAGCAGTATTTGTGACACACTGCAGAACCAAAATTTTAGAACATGGCTAGTTTGTTACCTGATCATTTTTCTCAGGATAGAATGAAGTGCCTTGATTTCTTCTGAGTGGCTAAAACTAGGCAGATGGCCTCCAAGGGCTTCACAGAACCTTTCTGCCTCTTCCCAGGTCCTGGTTCGCAGCACTCTTTCACTATGAAAGAACTTCACAACAACCAAATGTCAGAGCAGAAAATGATACATGAGGCAGAATTTTTAAAACATTCCTGTTCTACTAAAATATAGCCACCTGAGATTTAATAACTGGTATTTACATAGGGAAAGAACTCGACTTTTTTACAATTTTTCTTCCAGTTTGTTTGACAACAGCCAGACTCTGAAGTTTAGCTGACAAAATTTGTTTCAAACACACATATTCCACATGACAGACTTTCTTGGTTTTTCTTTACCAGGAAGATTTTAGAAACTACCAGCCAGCTCATTCCATAACTGCAAGTTAAGTTTTAAGGGATGTTGTTCTTTCAAATTTATGGTGAACTACAAAGCCTAATGTTCACAGAAACTGTGACAACTGTGTCATTTAAGTGCTGCGTGTGAAGAAAGTTCTTTGGCACACCCTTGGCTACCTGTATGCATCTGAAGAGCAAGTCTGGCTCATACACCTCAGCTAACATGTCCACTTAATCCCCTTGGTTTCAGTCCAAGACAATTCCCATCAGCTGGATGTCTCTGCACAGACATGCTGCATTTGGTCAACAGCAGTTGAGGAGAATCCAGGCCAGGGCCATCTGTCAAGTCCATCAGCTACAGGACAGCTATGCTGCACAGCAGCACAGACCTATCCCTTCAGGATGCTTGCCCACACCCTTGTTATTCAAGCTGGGTTTCCCCACTTTGTTCCATGAGCTGTTTACAAGAAAGAGTTCATTGCAGACACTGAGTCCAAAAATAATGAATAAATAATCCAATTAAGAGGCTCAGTTTTAAATTGAATTAATTTTTAATAGGAGGGGAAAAACCTGCATTTCTAAGTACAAATTTGTTTAAGCCATTCCAGCTACACAGCACAGCTGCTTGCTTCCACTATTTACTTTGAAACAGTAAAATACAACTGAGGCTGAATGTTTTTATGTATCCACAATCAAACCAGAGGAAATCCTACCTCTCCTATTTATACTCTTAGAGTACTGAAAGGAAAAGGGCAAGGGAAGGTGATACAAAGGGCTTTCCTTCCCTATCCAGGTGTCTGTGCATGCCCAAGGGCAGCAGGGAAGACACAGGCACAGCACCCTGACAACATCAGACTCCTGAGACAGCAGCACAGGGCTAGTGCTGCTGCCCCTCTCAGGAGCCCACAGAAACAGGCACAATGTACCTTCCAGAAATGGCAGAGGATGATGCAGGACAGTTATCTGCAGACAGTTAACCTGAATCAACACCAATTCCCTCTCCTGCTGAAGAGCACCTTTAAGATGCCCTCCAGAGCATCTATGCCCACAAACTGGCTGATCATTCACTTCCTCCAAGACAGTAATGAGCAATTAACATCAAACAGGAATAACATTTTACCTTGTAGCAGGCAAGGCCAGATCCATTGTGCCACCCAGGGGGACAGGGATCTGTTGGCTTTGGGAGCACTTCTGGCTCCTTGGGCTTCCCAATATATTTTTTGCAGACAGAAAATGCTTTAGTGGTTTTACAGTCCTTAGTTTCCCACTTTCCAAGAGAATTTCCACTGGACATGGCCACACATCCTCCTGAAAACTCTGAAATTAAAGCCACCAAAACCACATTTAAAACCTTTGGCTGGTTTTCAAAAAAACCCTGACATAATTGGGAATTACTACTTTATCACATGCTTGGAGATCTGTAACATGGTACTCCAGTACTTGCTCAATGTAAAAGCACAGCATATTTATGAGTTTTTTAGTTTTCAAGTTTACCTGGTTGCATGGAATTCCAGTTAGTGTATGTCACAGCTTCAGGTGCCTCCCCATTCACTGTACCCCAGGAATATATTCCTGACTGGCTAATATCCTGCAAACCGGTCCAGAAGTACTTTTCTTCAACTTTGGTGTGTTTTCTAATTAGACTGTTAATAAATTCTTGTTCAAATCTGAAAATCCACAGATTAATCAAAGTCAATATTTGAAAGACACCAAACTATGAGAAAATTTAAAAACCAGGAATATTACATGAGTCAGTTCAAGCAGTCATCCAGGCAGTCCCATATTCAGCCTGGGGTCAGCAGGCTGGGAATTCTCATACTTCCAAGAAGGTTTCACATTGTAGTTTTACCATTGTCACACTGTGGAAAACACGGCTTTCTAGTTCTTGCCAAAAGCAATTCTCTCTCTACTTTTTGGTTATAAACCCTTAGTTATGATACAGCAGTTTTAATCTCTGATTTTAGCTCCAGGATTGTGATGTTAAAACCTGCTCATAAATTACAAATGTGCTTTACCTGTTCATCACTGTGAGATTGCACTGGGCTCCAAATGAAACTTCCATTTTATCAATCCTGTAGCAGTAGTTTCCATGTTTCTCCCATCCCTGGTTAGCGAAACAAAAAACACATTTATACAAACCTAATTTAGGCATTACCTACAGGGGAAAATAAATCATTGCCAACAGTGGCTGGTGCCCACAAGCTGGCACAGCATATACAAGAAAGAAATGCACTGTGTCACACACAAGGTCCACTATCATCAACTCTCACAATCACAGTTGTAAAAAATAATGCAGCAACGGGAATAAAATACACCACTGTTTTAGCTTGCCTGGGCAGAGTCTTCTGACCACTATGTGCATTTACAGAGAGAAACACAAGGGCAACAGCCCAGTCCAATCCAAAACAATAGTAGTTTTCATGCTGTTCCACCAAGGCCAGGATTCAAACACAAGAATACTAGGAAGGCATACACCAGTGTTCCTTTACTTCTGAGAAAAATACTTGATACTGCAAATGTGTGAACTTAGAAAATTTCTCTATCATTCCAACATTTCTCCCCATATTTACACTGAAGTTTCAAGAAACAGTAATGTGTTAACTCTTTTCTAGCCTAGCAATGCCACTGGTGTCTGAACAGCACAGAAAGCTGTAACCCTACATGCTGGAAGTCTCTGAAAAGACAGAGTTAAAAGCTCACATAGAAAAAAAGATAAGGAGTAAATATCTTTCCTGTTGCAAGCAATATGCCACACAGAACTGAACCAAATAACTCTGAAGTAGCTAGCAATACCATCACAGGCTAGCTCAAAAGACAAATACTTTATTTAAGCTGTAAGATGTCACACTGTAATAAAAACCAAGCAAAAAACCAAAAAGCCCCCACCCTTATTCAAGTCATAGAACAAAAATGAGAGCAAACAAAGTGTAACAAGCCTAATCCCAGTTAACAATCTCTGCATATCTTTATGTTGCAAAGAACTTATCCCAAATTTTAAAACATAATTTGAGCAAAAACAACAAAACAAATGGTGCTATTAATAACGTTTCTAATAAAATTAACTTCTTTTAAATAAATAAATTTAAAAACCATAAACTTTCCTGGGTCCAAGCTCATAATACTTTCATCAATAGACTGATAATACATCCCAAGCCTGCTTAGGAGAATGTGAAATTTGGTTTATGATATATAAATGTCCTTTTTCAGACAACATGTTTCACACACTTTACTGAACAGACAAGAAAGAAATGGAAGTAGAAGAAATAAGTGATTTCAAGGAGGTTTCTGAGCAAAATGACAATGTAAGAAACAGAGGCTTCCTATTACCTCTTCCAACGAACAACTTTCATCTGATTTTGTTTCATTCAAAATCTCTCCTTTTTTCTTGCAAACGTATTTCAACTTTTCTTCACAGGATTTGACCCTCCACTGTCCCAGCTGTGAGAATGAAAGGAAAAAAAAGTATTTGAAATTCTAACAATCTTTCCATTTCTATGTTTACAGGGGCTGTTTCCATTGGTGTGAAAGCCAAAATGCCTCTGGTATAGCTATTGGGTGGGATGCCCTGGATTATATGCACAGGAACACGTTTGGAAGGGAGAGAGAAAGCTGACACACATGGAGATGGGAGGATTCTGGATCACATCCAAAAAGGAAAGAAAAGGCCAGGGTGGTGCCAACTCTCTTAGATCAGGAAGGGAATGGGTGCAGGAGGTGTGCACAGCTTAACGTGGAAGTAGCTCAGAGACAGCTCAGAGGAGCTGAACACAAGCTCCAGCGCCAGGCTGATGACACAGCAGGCAAATGCGTGCTCCACTTTTCTCATCAATCTGCAGGATGGGATACAGCCTGCTTCCCACTCTTAGTGGCCTCCTTTCTTCACCAACACCCTTTTTAGAACATTCCATCCTCAGACTGGTTGACCCAAACTGCTCTGGAAAATGACTGAACCCAGATTTCCCTTCCTTCCTACCTTTCTGCCAGAGACATGCAAGAATACAGTAATTCAAAATACAGAGTGACAAGGCCAACTGTCTGGCCAACAATGTGGTAGTTTCAGAGCTAAGAGTCATTTCTTCCATTCGTTGCAGTACACAGCTGTAAAGTTCTAGCTAAATAATTTTCCAAAATTTGCTTGTAGAAAAATAAATTTTAAAGATTATTCCAGAAATAAGAAGAGCTATCTGCTTTATTCTCCTCCTTGACTTTCAATGTTGCCTATACTATGATGAAAAAATACAAACCAACAAGCAAACTCAACACTGTATTCCTACCTTGCCTGAATATGACACGCAGTTAGGAGTGCTGTTAAAGGGAACTTTTGGTTCATTCTGATCCCAGTAGGTGAAAACCACAGGCGAGCGATCTGACCATTTGAACAAGGTTGGCACATCGTCATTCTTGAGACCCATCCACATTTCCTCTTCAGCATCTGTAATTTAAAATTAGGACAAGACTGTTGTTTCAATATAATATTCAAACTAATAGGAAAGCAATGTGTTATCAGCTAAATTCAATTTTTTATCATACTGCACAGCATTGAAAAATACTGTGCAGCAGTATAGTGTTTTTATTTATCTTACAGTGAGAAAAGGTATTTGACACAACCATAATGTATGTTTGTTATCTTGTTTCTTAACTTATATTCATGACAATGAATACGTTTCACAGAGAAGGAACAAACAGGGGGAAAAACCAACCACAAACAAGCAGAAATATCGAACACACAAGCAAAAAAACCCTCAACCAAATTTAGAGTGTAGGCAAAGACACAGCATCAAACACTACCAGTCAAAATATTGACCCAACTATCTATTATTCTCTTTGAACCAGCAAATTAAACATAAAGTATTAAAAAGTAGAAGTAGGTTAGCCCAGTAAATAAATAAGTTAATAGACTGAACCAGAACAAGTCCTAACACAGAAGGCCTGGATCTGCACAGCAACATTCAACACTAGCTTGAGTACAAGTTCAGCATTAACACCCACACTTAAAAGCTGGAGGTTATAACAACCCTGTGCTAGAACATGGAAAGCAGTTTGTAATTTATGGTGTGCAGCATTTGGTGCTTGACTTTTACAACTACCCCAACTCACCATTATGAAGCTTTGTAACAACCAGTTCAACATCTGCTAATGAGTGAACACTGATGAGGTTACTCTTATTTGCTTTGCACAACTCATCTGCTGTACTCCAAGGTGCCTGCTTGTTTACGGGCATGTAGCAAAAGCCATCGTGGGGGAGCCAGCCTGGATCACAGCGAGTATCCAAGTGTCTCCAAAACTCTAGTAATGAAGAGAAATAGAATTAGAGGCTTTGGTTGCACATTGCCTAGTGCAAGGTGTTGGCTTTAAAGTCAGCAGCACCTTGAAAATAGCCAGAAGGCAGCAATCAGAATGTGTTCACATCTCTTCAGGGCTCATGTAAGAAAGGGTCACAGCTTAATCAAGCAAATAGACTGCAATGCAGAATTAGGAGAACTTATAATATTTTGGGGCCATGAAGCAGGTACAAGGAGAAAGAAGTTAGTGTGAGTGAAAGTAAAAAGCAGGACTGCATTACATTAAGCTTGTCCTAGTGTAAGTGAAAGGCTCAAAAGAAATTGTAAGCAAGATTTTAAAAGCAGCTGAAGACATCTAGTTGATTCATTGCAGGAAAGAAGCATACAACTCAAAAAATGCTTAATTTTAAAGACTTTTTTCCTCTCAAGATATTCAAGAATTCTAACTAGTTTTAATGGGTGCTGAAAAGGTATATACTAATAGCCCTTCTGGTTCAAAACATACTATAAAACACTCCAACCACAGGAATTTTGTTTTTTAATGAATAAAGCACTATATAAACACTGGTAATAACTCTACATACCCCACTGAGAAGCCAGAGAACAGACAAGAATTGTTAACTGATAACTAGCTTTTAGAGCATCACTGCAAAATTTGAACCACTTCAGTCAAATTTAAACTGATTACCATTTCTTCTTCAAATGCACACACCTCCCCAGGGGGAGCTGGAGAGAACATGCCTTAGCCAGACACACTCCACATCCCTTATCCTGTAGTTCTCCCTGTCATTCAAGGACAATTATCTTTAAGTAAAAGTTTTTGCAGAAGAGCCCTACAAACTGGAGCTCTGGGAACTCGGTAAGGTCAAAGCACACATAGAAGAAGAGGTCATGGACATGGGAAGGGTTGGACATTCAGGTGTAGATAAATGGCCAAGAGCTTGGAAGCAGTTATAAGTCACAGTTGGACACTGTAAACATTGAAGGCCTCTGTGTGTGTGTGTGTGTGTGTAGGTTGGGATAAAGGAGTTATTCACTTATAAGAGCTGTTATGGGTCCAGTAAAGATTACACACTGAGCAAACTACCAACTCCTCCATTCTGATTTGCAGTGCTTGGCCTGGTTTCAGAGGACAGTAAGGTTATTTGACTACTTCTATTTTAATTCAACAGAGTTTGATCCAAGATCCAGGTAAACCTCATTTTATGTCAATACACACCAAGAGCAAGAGAAACAGGCTTAAAGCAAAGGTGGAAAGGTTTGAGATGCAACTGCCAGTTCCAGACTTCCAGTAATACATGAAAGAAGGCACAAGCCATGGAGGAAAATGTGATGAAAAGGGCAAGACCACTGCAAAATGCTTTATGTGTGAATGAGAAAGCTGCAAATAATGAAAACTGTTTGTGATGCATCATCTTGACACTGAAGAAACAGAGTTTGCTTCTGCTCTGCTAAAAAACCCAAAGCTGTTGTGAAAATGTTTTGGCAGAGATGCCTGAAAAGGCTTGGGAGGGAAAAGAAAGACTCCATAAGTCAACATTATACTTGTATTAACATACAGAACTTAAAAATGCAAACTGTCCTACCTGGAATGCTTGAAACTTCATTGAGTGACTTCTTGCAAGCATATGGAAGCTGAGTCCCACAGTGGTAACTCTGCCACTGACCTGAAGCAGCATTCATCACCACACAACTTGTCCCATCCAGTGGGGATAAACTCTCCATATCTATAGACAGGAACAAATAAAAATACAACAGCACAAGTTATCAAACAGTAAGGCAGTGACAGCTTCCTTTTACTACTGGTTTTCAATACAAAAATAGCACTCTTTGGATAGTACAGCACCTTGTATTTGAAGAACATAATTTGTATCAGCTGAGGGCAGCTGTCCTAGCACAGGTCCCACAGAATGTTTTTTCTAAGAGACAAAGTTTCAGAATCAAGGAATCTTGACTTCTTTTCCAATGTTTAATCATAGAACCAGGAGGAATGTTCTATTTACAATACAAGAAACCCTTGGCTGAGCACTTTCCCAGACTAGAAATATCTCAGGGGAGAGCCATTTTTGCAGCCCTCAGTTTCCTTTGGCAGTCCCATTCCACCCTTTCTCCAAAGACAGTACTGCACTTTCTCTCAAGGCTAACCATAACCTTTACCGTAACAGAAACCTTTGACAAGGCCCCAGATTTAAAACAGCATAGAGAATAGCTCTTTTTTGCAGTCTTCAGCTTCCCTTGGAGCACCTTTCTAATGGAACTTTTTGACTCTGCTTTTCTTTGAGCCTCAATGCAAACCCGCATTGTGCCCTACACAGAGCACCTCATACCCTGCACTGGGTTCGTTCAGGCTCACAGTAAAAAGGCTCAGGCTAAATCTCAGTTCTCCATGAAAGAGAACAGTGGGACAGGAACAGGGTCTTTTCAGAGGGGTTAAGTGAAAGGAAAAGTAATGGACTCAACTTGCACATATCAAAATTCCTGTAAGGTTCCAGTAGGTAATTTCACAAGATGGGTAGACATGAATATGTCTGCCATGACTGCAGACTAAATTATGCCACTGTATCTCACGATAGTCTGGGCTCTAGCTCTGCATTACAGTCCTACAGAGTGGTCACAGCTCCAGAAGAAGGTGCAGTCAATAGTACAAGCAGCAAAGTTCCTAACGTTTCCAAAAGACAGAGCACATTTGGAAAATCCCACAGAAATTTCTTAGCAAAGCTGTCAAAAAAGTAACAGAAACCACTTCTCAACTTTTCACAGAATTCCAGTTGCAGGACTATGCTAGAAACTAAAGGAAAAAGGAGAAGTCCACTTAAAAAAACTCAAATTCAGCTTGAATGACAGAACAACATTAGTTTCAGTAATCCTGATGACTATTGCTCTGGAATTCTCATATACATATAGATTCACGAAATATTTGTGACATTACAAATTCATCCTGAAAATTCCAAATAGTGCCACTAATCTTACTATCATCTTAGGAGTAATTAAGATAGGTTTTTCAAAGGTTTATACTTCTTTCATCTTCACCTTGAAACAAATTTAGGCAACCTTTAAGTTTAAAAACACAAGTTAAACTTCTAAGTAACATCAGTCCTTGTGTGAACACAAACAATCAGAATATTTGAGGGAATTCAGTGTCATTATGCCAGTGGAAGGAGAATTTAGCAGCTAGGAAAGCTGTGGATACTTTACTAAAATGGACTTCAAAAATACTATTTATGTTTTACCTTTTTAGAGATCTAATCAACGGTAAATATAAAATGAGAACAGAAAGATTCGCTGGTTGGAGGTAAAGATGCTTCTGAAAAAGGAATGAGATGGAAAAAAACCTAATACTAATTACTGTTGAGAATATTATCAACACCACCAGATATATCAGTACCTGGATGCCAGTTGAGAAAATTCAAAGGTTTGTGATCTGACCACTGCCAACCACCAGAAACATCCAGTTGATTTAAGCCAATCCAGAAAATCTCTGCAATGTCATCCTTGCCTAGAGACATTTTTTAAAAAAGAAAACAATAAGTATAAACTGTTAATCCTTTATTGATCTCCTTTAAATTAAAAATACATTCTGAAATGGCATGTATTCCAGAACAGAAAGATTACTACTATAATTAAACATGCAAACTTTCTTGAACTGAGGGGGAATTAATCCACGCAAACCTTCCCTCCCAATGTCTTCAGATGTTTCTCCTTTGCTTTTACAGTCCCAAAGGCATTTGGATAATTTCTCCAGGTCAAGACTGAACATCAGGGAGGACAATTTCATAACAAGAAAGTAACATGCTGCTAAAACACCAACTGCCACCCTGGTCTGTATTTTAGATTTTGGGGACATTCCTCATGTACAATATGGACAACATCTAACTGCTATAAAGAAATGATACAGATAAATTTAAATAACTCCCTAAAATGAGACTAGCACCTTAGTTTTGCTACACAAATGAAAGCTAATATACTTAAAGTACAATCAACTTTTGACCCAGAGATTTAGGACAGAAACTAAAGTGCTGCCTCCACTTTATAAAGATTTCCCAATATTCATATGCGAATAATTACACCTACCTTGTATGTAACTTAACTCAGATGCATTTTGGATGCTAAGTAAATCTCCTCCTTGCCTTTGACATGAAATATAAGCTTCCTTCCAAGAAAGAGCAGACTGTGTATTAAACTGGTAGCAGTTTTCAGACCCTGGATCATGTTCCCAGCTATCATGACAACCATCCTCTGTTTAAAGGAAGAAGAAGATACTTGTAACTACAACTATACAGAAACATTATGAAAGTTTCAAAAGAAAAGGTTTTGAATATAAAACTGAGATCTATTGATTTTTATATTGGTAATCACAAATACTTGCAGTGTAAACCAACACTGCAATAAAAAGCTTTTACACAGCTTAACAGCCACATGAAGGTGGAGCTGTACATCAGAGAAGTGACAGAATACTTTTAGGATGTCTATTTAGAAACCCAACATGCCTGGCTGTAAGCAGACTCCCCATTTTCCATCGCGAGAATAATCTCCAGAAGTGGCGCACCATTTCCCACCCGTGTGCATTTCATCCTGAATGCAGTCATGATGCCACACCTTGTTATACAGAAAGGGGAATTCACAGGGTTTACCATAAGAGTTGCCATCTTTGGTATAAACTTCTGCAGAAAAAAGAAAAAAAAAAAGAAGTAAAATAAAGAAGTAAATACATCTGCCTTGCTTTGACATGGAAAGTACAGCAAATCAGCGTTACTGCTTGTACAGACATAGTTAAACTAAATGCATGCAAATCACACTTGTGGTCTTATAATACCATATCTTATTACAGATAATATACAGCAATGCCAGAACTGGAAAAAAAAATACATTGAGAAATATTTTTCTGTACTTTTTCTTCTGAGAAACAGCAGAAGCTGCTTTCATTGTCCTATCAAAGTCCAGGTGCCTTGCAGAGTCCTATAGAAGGAGGACTCTTAACAATCAACACATATAGAAGTGGGAAAAGGTAAATATGCATTTTCATCACTTCTTCCAGCAAGCATGAGGTTTCAGACAAGACTGGCTCCCGTGGCAAGAGCACAGACTACCATACCAAAGTTCACAGTCCAGCAGGCTGTGAGCTGGCAGCATGCTCTGAATTTGACTGTATAGCCTACCAGAAAAGAAAACATCCTCAAACCCTGCTAACAGGAAAATTCCCATCATGGTGAGGAGGAGTGTCAGTTCTGATAGAAGGTTGTTGTTATTTAATAATTAAATAGATTTGCACTGAAATATGGGGCAGGGAGGATTTAAACCTGCTAAGAAAGCCACTCAATAACACAACTTCTGCAGTTGTGCTGGTATTTTTTACTAAAAACCTTTAAAGTTTCTCTCTACAATCCAAGATTCTATTTCTTTATTGATCAATCTTTTCATGTAACTAATTTTAAGAACTTATTCACACAGACATACTCAAAAAGGCCTTAACAAATAAAAAAAAAGTCTCCAAAGTACAAACTTACTTACCATGGTAGGGATACCGACATATGTCACTGGAGGAATTGTTGCTTTTCCACTGGTCTGTTGCATTTATGTTTGCAGTCACATAGTTATTCTTGATAGTCACTTTATACTGAGATGCACCAATGATGGAAGCATCAGCACATCGCCACCACAGCATCAATTCTGAGTTACAATCAACCATTTTCAGGCGAGACACTGATTTGGTGAATATATCCAGTCCCAGGCACTGCTTGGACCCCAAGTGAAAGAGGCGATTCTGGGATACCCATTTCCACAGAGCTTCACTTGTGTCCCTGCAGTCATCTATGACTATCAGTGAGTTTTTAACTTGTATGCATTTGTTCTGTTTGTCATGGCGAATGGTAAAAACATCATTGCCTGCATAAGAACAAACATATGGCTATGATTCAGTATCATTTTCACAGGAAGGTCATTTTTAAAAGGGTAATCCCATTCTGAGAAATGCTTTCAGAAAAGTGTCACAACTGCTGTTCACATGTTAAACCACCTCTTTTGTAGAAGCCACATTCAGTGCATTTTCCTGCTCTTTATTGAGTCTTAACTTCTGGGGAAAAAGAGATCTTCCCAAGTCTTTATAAAATGAGGACAGACAAAGTGAGATTTCTAAGTCCAATTCTAGCAAGAATTCTAAGAATTCTTACTCATATTTAACATATACTGATTGCATCAGCCCCTAATTAATTTGCAGACTTACTGGGTAAAGAATCTTGTCTTCATGCCTATCTGCAAACACAGTAACACACACAACACACACCATAAAACATAATTAATAATAATCTTCACTAACTAAGCACTTTCTTTTAAACTCTGTATCATATATGATACACAGCAGGGAGAGGTTTACATTTCAACCAGTCTGTGGGTGCAACTGCAGTGCTGCTAAGTTAACTGGCACTCCTTTGAGGAGAGAGTTTTAGAATGAGTATCCTACCAAAGACAGCACACAACAGATTAGGAGTATAATTTTTAAAATTATATAGGGACCCCACTTTCATTTTCAGTTGTGATAAGTTTCATTTTCAGTTCTGGCACAGTTTGTGATTAAAGAGAAAAATTAAAGTTGATAAAGCATAGTATATAATTTAAAAAGTACATGGATCACCCTACTAATCTAACACCTCTGTCAGTGTAAGAACACTTCTGACAAGCTGCTGTAGGTTTAAGCGAACCATGAAAAAATGCCCTAAAACTATTTCCATGCCCCAATAAAGATGGCTCCACAGCACAGAACTTTTGTTAATCGGGCTGAAATGGACCTTGGCTGTCCCAGACCCACAAGGCTATTATTCTGCTGCTTAAATAAGGAATCTGCTGAGTAGTATTTTGTATTTAATAGTAATGCACTGTTGATCACATTCCTACTGCGTTTTTCTGTTATGACTTACTAATAGGTTTGGCTGAACAAGAAGGAAAATATTCAGTGATGTTATGCAGTGAATTTTACCGCTACTTCCCAGTGTACCCGTGAATTTTCCACTGAGTAAGTGCCAAACAGTACTTAAATAGTACTTAGCTATCACACTGTAAAGAAGAATCTGTAAGTCACCCACCTACTACGGTGAATTTTTTTAAGTATCACCCTTCAACCAATTGTCCCTTTCATTCTGTAAACTAAGACATTTCAACAACCAAACCTGCTTTTGTGGTGTCCTTTAACCCTGTGCTTTTTCAGCGCTATATTGCTTTTGCTTTTTATTACTCATTACTTTTTTCCTATTTTTTTATTTCTTGTAACAAGTTTTTAGCCTCTTCTCACGGTTTCTTTCACTTCTGCCTCCACAACCATCACGCCGATACCAAGTGGAAAATCACTTTTTAAAATTTCCCTGGCAAAACTTCCGAAATCTCACCAAATCTCTCTGTGCAGCAATTTATTAGTAACAGTTCCAGTTCAGCGCTCTGGCCGTGAAGTTTAGTGACATCTTCAGCCACCAACCTGAGCCTGTTATTATCACAGGCTATAAAAAATATGCGAGGTACAACTCAGCGAAGAGCTCATCTTGTTTCCCAGAAGCTCTGACTAGGCTAGTGGCTGTGGCTTACAAGAACTAGCTCAAGGTGAAACTTTCCCACCTGCTTCCTGTCGGGTTAGGCGAGCCTCCTTCTGTGTCTGCCCGCGCAGTACAGGCAGTACAGGATATAGGCAGGGACAGCAGCAGCGGCCTCGGGTGATGCGTGCCCCCGAGCTGTCAGGCCAAAGGCCGCGGCCCGGCCCGGGCACCCCCTGCGAACGTGGCAGCCGCGGCCGGCGGGGCAGCGCCGGCTTTCGCGACGCCCCAGGCCAAGCGCACGCTCCGGGAGGGAGGTCCGGG